TATATATACATATACATATATATGGCACATAAATTTTAATAATGATAATTATAGCGAATTTGAGGTAAGCAGCCATTCAGGGTAAATAACTATGATATATAGTTTAGTTCAGCACAGCAATTAACGGTGTGAGAAATATACAATCAACTCACCATTATGGAAGAGTGAATTCCAGCTCTTGTGATCATTTTCTTCTACACAGACTTACTAACTACACGCACGTACAACCACACGAGCTTATACACATACGTCCTCCCAAGTGTAGCATTCGTAAAATACGGTATTACGGTTTTCTCATTCATTGGCCTATGGAAGCAATAAAAAAATGTAGATAGAAAAATGCATATCAACAGTGTTCGATCGTTTGTATTAATGAACATATAAGGGTATTGGGATTCCAGTCCACATGAGAAATTACAGGTACATATGGTGTTATTTATTCTAACACCTATATGCATTCGCCTTTATTCGGATGGAAAATTGGAAAAAAGTATCCCTATCATGTTCGTTGTAGATATATATTCGTCAGTAAAACACGTACACACATTAATGATAGTAATGACTAGTAATACTGGTCTATGAGAGTAGTAACTGCATTTTCACAAAAAAGTAGCAAAAATGTGTGTGTCTGTGTGTGTGTGTGAGAGAGAGAAAGAGCGAGAGAGAGAGAGAAAGAGCGAGAGAGACAGACAGACAGATAGCAGATAGATAGACAGAGAAAAGAGAGAGAGAGAGAGAGACAGACAGACAGACAGATAGACAGACAGACAGAACACACAAAAACAGAGAGAGAGAGAGAGAGAGGTAGACAATGAGAAAGAGACAGACAGAGACAGACGGAAAGAGAGAAACAGATTCGGATTACTGGTTGTCTTGATCACTGCAATAACAATCCTGTCGTGCAAGTATAATATTATGTTACATTCATTATTACTATTTCTCGTGTAATTTAGTTTAAATATCTGTTAATGTACCAATCGGAGTCTGTGTCTCGAACAGAATATGTAAACTCCCTGGAGAGAGAGAGAGAGAGAGAGAGAGAGAGAGAGAGAGAGAGAGAGAGAGAGAGAGAGAGAGAGAGAGAGAGAGAGAGAGGAGAGAGAGAGAGAGAGAGAGAGAGAGGCAGAGAAGAGAGAAAGACAGAAGAGAGAGAGAGACAGAGAGAGAGACAGAGACAGAGAGACAGAGACAGAGAGAGAGAGAGACGGAGAAAGAGAGACAGAGACAAGAAAGAGAAAGAGAGACAGAGACAGAGAAAGAGAGAACAGACAGACAGAGAGAGTGAGAGAGAGAAAACGTGCGGATATATGGTAATAACACAGAACTGAAGCTTATCCAGTAATTCCCAACAAAACAACAACAAATTTCTCTAAGGGATTTTGCAATCATGTAAATACACGAAAAATGTAAAGGAAATACAGAATAGGAAATACAATTCGTCTTTATGTTTTTTTTTTTTTCTTTTTTTTATTCAACTTTTTTTTTTTTTTTGGGGGGGGGGGGGAGTAGCGGGAACAACGTTATTTTGAGAGAGAAAAAAAACATTTAGCTATTCTCGGACCTGCTACTTTTATTCATAAAAATGTGTAGGAATGTGATTTACTTAGTACAATAGCGAGAGAGAGAGAGAGAGAGAGAGAGAGAGAGAGAGAGAGAGAGAGAGAGAGAGAGAGAGAGAGAGAGAGAGAGAGAGAGAGAGAGAGAGAGAGAGAGAGAGAAGAGAAAGAAAGAAAGAAAGAAAGAACGAGAGAGAGAAAGAGAGAGAGAGAGAGAGAGAGAGAGAGAGAGAGAGAGAGAGACAGACAGACAGAGAGACAGATAGACGAACACACAGACAGAGAGTCAGACAGAGAGAGAGAGAGAGAGAGAGAGAGAGAGAGAGAGAGAGAGAGGGGAGAAAGGGAGGGAGAGAGAGAGAGAGAGAGAGAGAATGGAGAAGAGAGAAGAGGAAGAGAGAGAGAGGAGAGAGAGAGAGAGAGAGAGAGAGAGAGAGAGAGAGAGAGAGAGAGAGAGAGAGAGAGAGAGAGAGAGAGAGAGAGAGAGAGAGAGGAGAAGAGAAAGAAAGAAAGAAAGAAGAGAGAGAGAGAGAGAGAGAGAGAGAGAGAGAGAGAGAGAGAGAGAGAGAGAGAGAGAGACAGACAGACAGAGAGACAGAGACAGACAGTAGACGACCACAGACAGAGAGTCAGACGAGACAGAGGAAAGAGGAGAGGAGAGAGAGGAGAGAGAGAGGAGGGGAAGAGAGGAGAGAGAGAGAGAGAGAGAAGAAGAGAGAGAAAGAGAGAGAGAGAGAGAGAGAGAGAGAGAGAGAGAGAGAGAGAGAGAGAGAGAGAGAGAGAGAGAGAGAGAGAGAGAGAGAGAGAGAGAGAGAGAGAGAGAGGAGAGAGAGAGAGAGAAAGATAGAGAAAGAAGAGAGAGAGAGAGAGAGAGAGAGAGAGAGAGAGACGAGAGTTAGAGAGAGAGAAGAGAGAGAAAGAGAGAGAGAGAGAGGAGAGATGAGAGACAGACTTAGATCCAGATGAGAGGAATCCAGAGCAGACAGACGAACAGTGAGTATTGTCGTGTATGGTGTGTATAATACAGGACATGAGAGGGTTCCAGAAGAAAGAACAGAACAGAAAGACGAGAGAAGAGGAGAGAGAGAGAGAGAGAGAGGAGAGTAGAGCAGAGAGAGAGAGAGGAAGAAGAAGAGAAGAGGGTGAAGAAGAAATAGAGGGA